GCGGCACCCGGTGCTGTCAGTGTGGTGCCGAGGAAGCTCTCGCGGAGTTTTACCTGTATCCTCGGCCTTTTCCCTCTAGGTCACCTACCCTATGTACTGCACGAGGAGACCACGTGTCCACTAAAGACATGGTTCCTACCTTCTAAAGCTCATTGTAGATAAGTATGTAAAAAAAATTCTGAACAATTATAACAGCAGATTTTGGGTGCCTATTTAAATGTATGTAGTGTCAAATACATTTCTGTAGGATAATTAAAAAACCATTCTGTCCTGGGGTGAAATGCCATATCAAGAAATATTACTTCAGGGGGAAAAGAAGAGGCTGATACCTTTAAAAGATCAAATAGCACATGAAACTTAAAAATCAAAAGTTTTGTCAAAGTAATAGGACACCTTCTGACCAAAAAAGACCTTATAAAAGCTGCAATGATCAAGACAGTGTAGTACAGATATAGGCTAGAGATCTCAATCAATGAAACAGAATTGAGAATCCAGAAAAGACTTACATACCCAGTGTTCTAAGTTAGAAATTCTCAGGTTTCTTTGATTTCAGAGTTACCGAATCCTTGGCACTATATTCCCTAATCTCTCAAATCAATCTCTAGTGCCACAATCTCTAGTGGCTCAATTTAAGCCCCAACTGTTGATCTTTTGGCCTCTGATCCTTCTCACTTTCAATCTGGTTTCTACACTGCTACCAGAAGTCTCCAAAATCGATCTCAACATGCCGGTTTTAGAGAGCACCGTTCTCTCCCTTCCCCGTGGTCCCTACCCAAGCCCACAGAATACAGACTTCCCTTCGAAGTTTTGAGAAGGCAACCTCAGCCCCTGTTTATTCTCTTCACGGGGGGGTGGGGAGAGGGGGTGTGACTCATCGGTGCAATTGGGAGAAAGACTCTGCGAACATAAAGACCTTCGAAGAACTCAGCACTCAGGCTGGTGCCTCCCTCCTCCCACTCTTGCCTTCCTGGAGCGCACCAGGGGCAGGAGCGAGGGCCTGGCCTCTAAAAGCAATTCTAGGGCCCATCTCTCTGTTCTGTGGGTACGAGTCTCTCTCTGAAGCTCCACATAGATGGCTGGAGAAGTGCTACTCTACAAACCCAATCTCTCCACCCCAGGATCTAACTGGTGCGGGGGAGGAGGGCAGGTATCAGAAAGCCCCTATGGTTACCCATCCAAGCCACACTTTCCAGTCTTGTTTTACCAAACAATACAGCTAATATTTTAACCTATATTCGATTCCCATGTCTATTTCTCAATTGGTACCGCACTTAATAGGGGAAAAGAGATGTGATTAATTTTCACCTACAGAAACCTGCCCCAAATACCTTTGTAAAAACTGTCAATTCCTACTGTTTCCAGGTATAAATATCTCAGCCCAGCACAGACAGATGTCTCACCCAATCTCATAACAACTTAAACCTTCCCTCCCTGTGCTTCAGTCACCCCACACTACCCACTTTTTTTCCCAAATATAGCATGTTTTCACACTCTACCTCCACACGCACTGTCCAGTCAGCCAGGCTTCTTCCCAAGAGCCCCTGAACTCATTCCCTTTCAAACTCATTGCAATTGTTTGCTTTCCTGAGAAACTCTGTTCGACTTTCTTAGGCAAATTACTCACATCCTCCTGTATGCTTTTCTCACTTTGAGTGTCTGTGTACCTACAACCCTAACTCGACTGACAGCCCCGGTAGCAGGTATCATGTCTACTAGTCTTCCTATCTCCTGGTGCTTTACTCATTAAAGACACTTAAGAATATTCCAGATGATGTAAACAGCAAAAATAACAGTGACGCCTGGGTTGGGCCTCAAATGTCCAATTAGTAGCTCTATGTCAAGGACTGCAGACTTTCTCTCTAAGGGTAAGGTGGTAAATATTTTTGGCTTTGTGGGTCATATGGCCTGTCACAAATACTCAGTCCCGCCACTGCAGCATGAAAGCAGCTATAGACAATGCATACATGAATGTGTGTGGCTGTGTCCTAAAAAAACTTCATTTATAAAAATGGGCAGCCTGGAAATATATCGTAGAGAAATCAAAGCATGGATATATAAAGAGAGACATTGGAGTAATATTTATAATGGAAAAAAAATAGAATGAAGAGAATGTCTCTCGAAGGGGGAGTAATTTAATAAATTACAGCAAATCTACACCAGACTGTAATGCAGCAAATAAAGAAAAGAAGTTGGCTTTCTATTACCTAACTTAGAAGGATTTACGTGATACGATATTAAACAAAAAGAGCAAGATGAAGGGAAGTAAACCTATTTACGTATAATGTGTGTGTGTATTTTCTAGTTGATATGAGCCTGAAGAAAGGCATAGACACTAGACTAGTCATGGTGGTTTCTTGGGAAGAAAAAATAAAGAGAGGGAATGAATGACAGCTCAGATTTTTAAAAAACTTTCTTCCTTGTACTTTTCTGTAAGAATTATACACTCAGGAAAAAAATAAACTTATTTTCGTTATAAAAAATTTAAAAATCCAAAACGCCCACTTCTACCCTGGCTGTCGGTGTGCATGCTAACAAACACATGAGAGCAAACGCGTCTTTGTATACAAGCACATCTGCAACAGCGCTGTGCGTTCCCAGCTCTCACCTGGGCTGCAGTGGCTGCAGTTTGGAGGAGGCGAGACTCTTCCCACAGGCACCGGGCCACGATCCGGGCAATCTCCATTGGCTTCTCAAGATACCTGCTCTGTAAGTAGGAGAGAAAGAGAATGAAAAGCAGCGGTGGACTAAGCAGCCGTGGATGGAACTTTGCTAACTTAAAGCTAAATTCCTCTTCAATTGAGTGTTACATTTACTACACGAAACAATAGAACAAAGGCTTCAGAGCCTGGCCGCCATCAGTAGGAGACGATGGGAGAAAAGAAGGCAGGTGTGATGAGCTGTACTACTGTGAAAGACGGCACGGTCCTCTGAGTGTTTGGACAGTAAGTTGTCCTGGGCTTGTAGGGAAGTGACCAGCTATGCCCAGCAGAGTTCAATTATGGTCGAACCTTTAATATTTAAAAGCAAGAGTCATCTTCCTATGAGGGGACCTGGTTAAAACCATGTATCAACATGTTAAGATGATTAACGTAATCACATTATTACTTCGACTGACTAAAGAAGTGAATTTCTTTCTGGTAATGATGCCACCAAGACTTGAGAAGGGGCTAATTACTTTTTCTTTGATTTAAAGTACAAGGTAGGTTCTCATTACTTCTCCAAATGTGAAAAAGAAATACTTCCAGGAAAACCCTACTTAGAAGGTTCAGTTTCTGCTCTTTTTCAGTTTTTCATCACACCTGAAGGAACTGCTTGATTCTTCGCAGATTGTGCTGATAGAGAACATTCGACTCTTGTAGGAAGCGGCTGTACTGCTGGTCAATCTCACCCAAGAGGTTATGAAACACCAAAGTGGCATGTGATTCTTTGCTGGCTGCATAAGCCCTAGGAAAAGGAAGGATAAAGAATGATTTTGAAACACACACAACACACACACACACACACACACACACACACACACACACATCACCAACAGGTAGGAAGAAAAAAACCAAGACAACTCCAATGCTTTCACCTTTCACCCACTCATCATTTTAGATTCATCTTGTTCGGCAACAATAAATATAGTGTAATAATTATTAAAACTTATTCCAGATACTACTACCCACTGTCACAGTCTACACTGATAAAATATTTGAGTGAAATGGACAGATATGCTGTTTTGTTTTAAATTCTCAGTCAACTATGTGGTCAGATTATTGGTAGCAAATAAGAAATCCCGGCATAGGATGGCTGATCTCCAACATCTCTGAATCACCTCTCTGGCCCCTCACCAAATTCTGGAAAAACTAGGTCAAAGGCCTGAATTAAACCAAAACTAATAGGTGGATCTGAACACATTAAAGTGAAGGAAATAGTTGAAATTCTGTACCATTATTTCCTCCGAACAAGTCTATTTCTCCTACTCTGTCTCTTTAATCAAAGGGGAATCAGAAGCAAGGACCCAAACTTCTATCCATGACAGAATTCTCTTTCAGATAAAAAATATTTGTAGCATGTCCCTGAAGTGTAAGAACACAAGAGGCTCTCACCAAGTCAAGGAGATCCAAATCAGCCTTGAAAACATCTACCACCAAACAGGCTATTTCAACGTGCCGAAAGACAGCTGCCTGTGTGTGCTTCTAATGTAGAAAAATGTTTACACAAGACTAAGAGTACCTCTTTATCTTCTGATCTCTTTTACCCCATCACCTATACCCTAAGTTTTTTGATGAAATAGTTAACACAGAGCTCAACTAGAGCAGACCACATCTCTTGTCGTAAACCAAAACCTAACCATTTGGGGAGTTTCTCAAGAAGGGCTTACCAATCTTGACTCTCAATCCAAGGGGCCAGAAACTGCCGCAGCTCCATCGGGAAGCTGTCACTGTACAGCTGATGAAGCTGCTCCAGGTATCGTGTGTCGAGCTGCTGTAGCTGATTCCATTGGGCCATCCTGCTGGAATCAGGGGTCCCAACTGTAAATCAAAGGGTTCATATGGTCACTACAAGCCCCAGGAGGGATAAATAATCTAGAAATAGCTCATCTACCCAACACAGGCACCAGGTCTGTCATTATGGATAAAAGATACTTTGGAAAGGATCCTGCATGTCCCTCCCAGCTCAGAACAACACATATACATTCACAGGCTCTACCTCAGGAACCACAGTTCACAGCTCCTTCTAAACTGAATGGCAATGTGGGCCTGAGGCCAAGTTCTAGAATCCATTATCTACTGGAGGTATACGAAGTTGAAAAATTACTTAACTTCCAGATTTCCATATTCTCATCTATAAAATAGAGATCATAATTCCTACCCCTCAGGACTATTGAGATCCTATGTCTAAAGCACCCAGCTCAGTGCCTAGCACACAGTAGATGCTCAACAGATGTCAGTTCCTTTCCACCCTACACCCCTTTGCAGTGAACTGGTAGGTATATACAGTAAACTGAACTAAGACCAAAATGTAGAGTGTGGATATTCAGGGAGGACAGAGAGTTAATACCAAGACTATAGATTTAAAAGTGTAAGCAAGGATCTGCCTGGAATTCTCCCACTTATCAAAAAGTAATTGTTTTTTAAATTTCTCAGTCTGGGATGAGAAAGAAGAGGAGCTAAATACCAGGCACACAAGTTGTCCCCCAGAGAAATGTTCAGGTATGAGAAACCAATCCAGCTAACCACCTTTAGTCCTCTTTCTGAACAGCTTGGATCATGAAAATAGTGATACAGACCAAGTGGTCTTTAGAAGTTGTAAAAATAACGACAAGTAATAGCCAAAGACTAAGGTATAGACAGGTCAAAGTATACTGAGATGGTTCTCAGGGATAGTGAGAATGTTTAATGAAAGGCCAAACACATACACTAAACTGGATTTCTTGATTTATTTATTTCTCAGAGAAGACTACATGCTACATGCTGAAGCACTGTAACCCTGGTGTGCACTACCCTCAGTAAAAAATCGAAGGCCATTAGAACTCTTAACAACATTCACATTAGGGACAAGTTAAAATCTGCCTCATAGGCTAACAGCATCAGGATCTGATTTGCATAGAAATCTGTATAATATGCCAATTTATGTAGATTATACTGAATACGAATGCACTGAAACTCTGACCTGCCATACTGAAATATGGTAGCCACTAGCCACATGTAGCCAGCCACTGGATACTTGAAATGTGGCTGGTTCAAACTGAGAAATGCCACTGGATTCTTAAGACTTAATAAAAGAAAAAAAAAGTAAAATATCTCATTAGTATTGAAATATTGATAATATTTTGGGATTAAATAAAATATATTATTAAAATGAATTCCACCCATTTCTTTTTACTTCTTTTAATGTGGCTACTGGAAACTTTAACATTACATATGTGACTTGCATTCTACCTTTATTGGACACTGCTGCTCTTATGTAACCAAAAAACTATGATTCTTCTAATAAAGGATTTAAAGAAATAGATACCTACTTTTCACAATAGTTTTTTTTCCTAAAATTAAAGCACCCAAAATGACTGATATAACATTATGCTTCTTAGTCTAATAACGGTAACACTATAATAGCTATCCTATACATATACTTAAATCATTGTAAATTAAAGCCAAAGAGCAGGTAGTATTTTCAAGGAGAACATGGGCAAAGGGTCAAATTGTGATCTCTTTATTGGCCGCTTAGCTACAAACGATATTTAACCAACGGGAGCCATAGGGCAATCAGACCAAATGCTCTTCATAAGAACTGCATATCCTTAAGAGGTCACTAGCCAAATCGTCCAGGAAAATCATTGCCAACTAGCTTTGTGGTAAGTGTTTTACTGAAAAAAAATTTTTTTAAAGCCTGCTTTATTTCACAATCTCAATTCTGGTTTTTCAAATTATAAATTAATCTAAAGAACTCCACTAAATTTTAACTAAAGTATTTCTTATCAATGGAACGATTCTAAGCTTGTGATTTAATAACCACTTTCACTGAACCCCAGAACACAGAGAGTAATGTACACAACAATATGAATGCCAAGTACCATTCGTAAATAGGAGAGAAGTCAATTTATTCCATATAGTGGCTGCCTTAAGGCATGACATAGGGCTTAATTCTCTCAAGGTGTTTACTAAATTTAGGTTAGCAGATAGTAAATGTTAGCATATAAAGGAAAGTGTGACTGTTTTCTGCAACTGAAGAGAAAAGAAAAATAAAATGGCAAGTCATCAAAGACTTTCTGGCTTTTTGAAAGTGGAATTTCTCAACCCCTTGGGGATAACTTTACCAAAAACAAGTCATAAGGCAAACAATCATTGTCTAGTGGGACACTTATTACTGTAAAGATCACTGAAAAAGTTTGTCGAAAGTCACAGTTCTCATTTATATACTGCAATCTGAAGTAATGAAAGGCAATTGGAGAAGCACAAATCAGGACCACTTACCAAAGGTTTCATTACATCATTTCGTAAAACTTCTTTTTAAATTAAGACAGGTACTTTACGTCCATGCACCAGTGGATTTACAATAGGAGTGAGGATGGAGGGGGAAAGTGAAGAGAGGGACAGGTGCATCCGATAACCCAGAACAGAAAGTGATCTAAAGATGATTTCTGTTGCATCTTGCAATATGTCTTTGAGTGTTGGCCATACTCTACATTAGAAATACTTATATCTTAAAGCATACTGAGCTCCTCTTTGCTATCAGGAAAGGCCCAGTGACACAATCAAAGTATAAAGTAACAGAAGTGTACTTTCACTAATTTCTATAGAAACCAGTCCTTTTAAGAAGACATTTTAAAAAGATTATAATAGTAACCATGCTCACTGTGAAAATTTTGAGGGGAAAAAAAACCCAAAAGATAAAATCACCCATATCCTACAATCCTATCTAGAACTGCAGTTGACATATTGCTCTAATTCCTTTTATTCTATCTCAAGGATTATATATATATTTCTTTTTAAAAGTTGAGATCATAGCATTTTTACAGCTTTGTATTCTCTTTTAAAGCTTATTACATAGTAAACATTTTTCATGCAAAGAGATTTTTGTTTAAAGCCCACAAAACAACCATTTAGTTTCTATTAGTGTCTTCAATATAATCCTGCTAATTTCATTGAGGGCCACTGCATTTATTTATATTTGAAAGCTCCAATTTATTTATCTTCATCATACTACATTCCAAAAATAATAGGTAGTTGCAAACTCAAATTAGGGAGGAGAAAAAGTAAAAGGCAGTTAACACTAGACAAAGACACTGAACCTTTATGAAATTTTTAATGTAGGATTAAAGGTGTAATGAATGACAGGGAGTCCACATTTAAGTATGATAGCTTTAACTATTGAACCATTAATAACTTAACCACTCATAATTACCCTAGAGATTAAGACTCTGAAAGTTCAAATTAAAAAAGATCATTCAAAATAAATTCACTTGTATAATAAACATATAATTTCCTTGCTTACAAATCCAAATAATACCTTTATAATGTTTAAGACTAGAAGTTTGCCTTTACAATAAGAAGTCAATATATAAATCCAGTTTTGATCTCCTAGAAAGACAAAATATTAACACTTGAGTGCCCAATCTGAACTATACTTACTCTAATACTCAAAGGTATTCAGTTACAAATAATAGGATTGGCTTTAAAGTCTGAAACCAAGTATTCCTTGCAAAAAAAATGGACATTGAGATATAAAGAACTTGAATTATACTTCCCTGATAATGTGGCAAAATTAAATAAAGGAAAGAAATAATAAGTTACTGGAGAGTAGAGCTCAGAAAAGTGAGGGAAAGAACAGTTTTTCATGACATTCTGGAGCATTCTCAACCCAAAAGGTTTACTATCCCTCATCTTTCTCATCTCGCTTTAATTCTTCCTGGAAAGAGTTAAAGCATCTTGTACCAAGCACATTATTTTTTTCCATTCCAAATCTTATCACTAGCACTATCTTTGCATAGTTATCTAATGTATATCCAGAAACAGAGAGAATAAAATGTACTAGATTTACAGTCAGCTTTAAGAGGCGGAGACTACCAGGAACATGAACAGCAAAAAGGAAAGAAAACCTTGTGCTCTGATCCATGAAGGACAGCCAGCATTCTAAAAACAAAACCAAAAGAACTTCCCAAAATGTGATATTCACCCCCGCTGTCTTTGAGAAAAAGATTCTGAGAACTATGAATTACTAAGGCCTCTTACTATTTCAAATCTAAGAGTGTTAAGGAATGAAAATAAAAAAATAAAATAAAAAACTGATGTATTCTACATAATTCATTTGGTATAGGCACGATATTTGATCACAAATATTTCAGATTAAAGGTGTAAGAGCCTAAAAAATATAATTCCCTCTAAATTGAAAGTAACACAGCTAGACTCGCTTCGTCAATAACTAGGTACGTAGTTTCTGGTTAAAGATGCCTGAGAATAGGTCTGCCTCTAGAGAAAAACCACAAAACATACCAAATTTGTGTGTCACACGGCCTCCCCACTTTGTGACACTTCCACTCCCCCAACCAGACACACTCCTCTGAAGCAGTGTGGTATGAGGCCTGGGACACTAGAAGCTTTACACTGGCTGGGTCTGGGTGCAAACCCTGCCTGCCACGTATCAGCTACTTGGTCGGAGGACATTACTTGACTACTGAGCAGGCCTCTTCTTCAGTAAAATAGGGAAGTACCTATTGCTGCAAAAGTTAAAAATCATAATGAACGTACAGTCCCTCCTATACAGTAAGGTGCTGGGTGCCTCTTACGGCTACGTTCTCCCCTCGCCACACAGAAGGGGTTCCTTTCATCAATATTTCTTATACCGAATCCACTTCTTCAATGTTTTGAAAAAATATAGATTAATTCCTCAGATTAGTTATGTTAAATGATAAAGTCAGCCTTCCCTGCTATGTAAAACACACAGCATTTTTATAGACCTTTGTCTCATTTGCTAAGGGAGGGAGTCAGTAATGCTTTGGTGTGTAAGGGGACAAGGGGCGCACAGGAGGGAT